CCCCTTAGGAGTTTCAGGGGCTGATTTTTTCAGAAGTAAATTGGTCAGCCCTTCTTTTGAGGTTTCTCTGGTAAACTGAAACCTCCAGCGTTTAGGTTATCAACCAAGTGTGTTGTTTGTATTATCTGAATATTTCTGAAGTAAACTACTAGTGTACACTGACTTAGTGTATTCCTTAAGGTATAGAGCCTGCAGCTGAGTAGAATCTATAGTGGCAATTCTAGTAATTACAGACATTAAGAGTATGCTATTTTTTTTTTTAAACCAAACAAATCTCATCATTTCTTCAAAGAGATAATTAACTTAATAGCACTAGAGAATCTGTTCATGGTGACACAGAACTGTAAGGATGAACTGTTGAATGTTAGCATGTCTTTTTTTTTTTTAGTTTTATGTGTTGGCTGTGTGACATGCTTGATTATTATTATGGCCTATACTGGCTGACTCAGACACATAGAGACTAGGAGGGTGAGGCCAGGAATTTTCCTGCTGAATGCTGATTTTGGGCCAAGAAAAATATTTAGTTCTGGATTTGAACTGTTAGCCTCTGCCAGGTATCAGTCTCCTTAGAAATGTTCCGTGGTATCTTTTCAGTTTTTAGATGTCACATATACAAATAATTTCACTAGTGATTTTCTTTTAGACAGTAGTAGTGTTGCTTTTTAAATATATTGGTATTGCTATTTTAAAGTCATAGCTGTTTTAATGAATGAATGTCTTTCAGAATATTTAAATGTTATGTCTGATGCAAGGGATACTGAAGACTTTATCAATAACCTTGATGGTTCAAAGGAGCTTCTTTTCAAGGAAATAACTCTATTAAATATATCTGGGTTAATTTACGTCAGTGCTTGAAAATTCTAACTGATTTAAAGGGTCAAACTTTTCCTGAAACTTTTTATCTGAATTTCTCATCACGATTGGTATGTACTATTAACTGTATCTACTATTAGAGAAACTGTGATATCCTGATAGGATTTTTTTAAAAATAATAATTTTTTTTATTGGGAAAAACATATTGGGGGTACAAGGAGGTGAGGGTTGGGGGCAGAAGGGTAGAAGGGTGAGGATGGTCCAGGATGCAGTTGCAGAGCTGCACAGTTTGGTCGGTGGGGGGAGCAGGTGAAGGAAATGATGAGGTCCAGTGGGGACCAGATGCTACAGAGGAATGACAAGCATTTTCCAGTAGTAATTAAACCAGCTGTCTTATTGATTTGGGAATTGGATGCCGACTCTCTGGCTTCTTCATGCTGAACAGGGGCGTAGATATAAAGGGGGGAATGGAGGACGCTTTATCACCTTACTGGTGGTCTTGGGTTACAGCTGCTTGCCTTCTTGCTCCTGAGGGCCGCGAAGGTTCGCCCTGAGCCTGGGGCCAAGTGCAGCCCGCCCCAGGCAGAAGGCCATGACGGCTCGCCCTGGGCAGAGGGCCGAGGGCAGCCCACCCCGGGCAGAGGGCCACGATGGCTCGCCCCAGGCCTCATTCACATTGCTGGAATAATTGTCTTTCAGAAACAGTGACCTTATATTTCTGTGCTCTTGAAGTCCAGCTTTAGCTCTCTGGACTATTACAGTAGATTTTCTATCCATATCATACATGTCTGGTTTTTTTCCCCCTTTTCTTCTTTTTGTTCTGTTCTTATGCTTTAAACTTAATTTCTCACCAACTTTAATTTGAAGCTACTTATAAGATGTTGTGTGACACTTGTATATTTTGACGTGTTATTTCCTTTCCTCAGAATTCCTCTTCTTCTTGACTCATTTAAACCATATTAATTGCTAGTCACAATTTGAAATCTAACTCAGAAATCAGTGTGTTTGCGTTGCCTCTGTTTTCATTGAAAATTGGTTGTCAGCTTTATTGCATTTGATAATGATGTTTCTCATCATTAACTTTATTAAATTATAGTAATATATTTGATGTTTTTTATGACAGACAGGCATACGCTCATTAAATAAATCTTCATTCAAGCACCTATTTTATGCCAAGAAGTGACTGAACTCTGAGGATATAACTGTAAACAGCACTGCTGCCTGCCACATGGAATTGATAATTTAGAAGACTGAATATTTATCAAATATATTAAATTATGTTACAGCTTCACCTATAGTACTAAATTGTTATGTGAGCATTGATATTTTGTAATGGCATTAAGAAGCGAATGACAGGCAAATCTCTGTTAGATATCATGCAAAGATACTGTTGCATTTTACCAAGTTCCACCCCCCCCCCATGGAGATTTGTTCCACTCTATCTGTGGATATCAGAGGAGAAATGCTAATTTAAATAATTTGGACTTTGCACTAAAAGTTAATGTAATTCACTATTAAGAATTGTCCCTTTACCCTTTCTTCCCTTCTTGAAACCAATACTATATAAAATCTAATCAAACAATTTATTACAAAAGAGTACATAATGACAAAGGGGGGTTTGTCACAAGAACGACAGGCTTGTTTAACTTTTTAAAATGAATCAATGTAATTCATCTTTTTTACCAACAAAAGAAGGAAAAAACACAACTCAAACTGTATAACCATCTTGCTAGACACAGAAAAAGCATGGGACAGGAATCTAACATCTGTATCTCAACCTGATAAAGGTCGTCTGTGAAGATGCACAGCTAATATTTCACTTAATGATAAAAGATGGACTACTTTCCTCTTAAGAGAAGGACAAAAATAGTGTGTGCTCTCACTACTACTATTTATTATGTAACAAGAGTTTCTAGCCTTTGCAACAAGGCAAGAATAAGAGCATCACATTAGAAAGGAAGAACTGCCTTTGTTCACAGATGATCTGATTTTCTTGGTAGGAAATATAGTAAAATCTAGAAAAAACACTATACAGAAATAAATTGTATTCCTGGACAGTAATAAAAGATTTTTTTTAAAGAATGTGATTTACAATGTTGTTGTTATAGTTGTTGTTATGTGTCGTCAAGTCATTTGCGACTCATAGAGACCCTATGTACAACAGCCCTAAACCCTGCTCTATCCTGTGCCTATTTCATTGCCTCTGACACACCCATCCCGATTACCGCAGTCACTGAATCAGTCCACCTCATAGAGGGTCTTCCCCTCCTCTACTGTCCCTCCACCCTCCCAAGCATGATGTCCTTCTCCAAGGACCTGTCTCTCCTTACAGCATGTCCAAAGTATGTCAGACGAAGCCCCAAAATCCTTGCCTCCAAAGAATAGCTTGGTTTAACCCTCTCTAGGATGAATCTGTTTGTTTTCCTAGCAGTCCATGGTACATTCAGTACTCTTCTCCAGCACCACAGCTCAAAGGCGTCAATTCTCCTTCTATCCTGTTATTATAGTAGCATCAGAATATATCATAATTGATATCACATATGTCGGAAAAACATTATACAAAGGACTAGTAGGCCAGCAAACTAAATGAGATGTACTATGAAATAAATGCAATATATAATACAACCAAATATTAAGATGTTACTATTCTTCAAGTTAAGTTTTATCCAGTTAGACTATATGGAGTTTGTAATGACTGACCTTTTGGAGTAGATTGCCAGAGCGTTCTTCCAAGGTACCTCTTGATGTACTTAGCTCTTAAATTTTTCCACATTAAGAGTAGGAACCTCTCAGGGATTTCCTGCCTATTACAACACAAAGCTTATTTTAAATGTGATGCCTTTGAAGATTTGAAAGAATAAATTTCCCCTTCCTCAGTTATAGAGTTTATTAGGAAAGTAATAAGTCACGATTCACATTGGCAACTCTCAAGTTCAAGTGAAAATTCTTCAATCAGGACTGGTACAGTAAAGAAAAATTCAGATTCTTCGAAGGTGTTCTTGCTGGCATGCCTCTTGATCTTCAGCTTAGTGACTCTTGATCTTTCCTTGAGGCTCTGAATTGTTTTTTAAAAAATGGTTTTATTTCTACTCCTTTTACACACACATGTTCATTCTCTTTCTCTCTCTCACACACAGAGAGAGAGAGAGAGAGAGAGAGAGAGAGAGAGAGCGCGAGCGCGAGCGAATAGTTTAGGCCAAATAGACCCTGATTCCATAGAGTGGCAGTTTTGGTTCAGATCTCGCTCACTGCCTCTGGTTCTCCACGAACATTGGTTCTGCAGCACTGGTAGTGCACTCTGGGTCTGGTATGGATTTGTGTCTTGCACAGGAATCTCTGACCAAAGAATGTGGTGTGTTCTCTGTTCCTTCTTTCTTAAGGGTATTGAGATTCCCCATATTTTCTGTTGCTTCCATGTCTATAGATAATGATGAATGTAAAGGTCAAACCCATCATTGCAGATAGAACCAAGTAGGTCAGAATATAAGAACTCATGGGGTTTTAGTTAGAAAAAGAACATTTATAAAGAACCTAAAAACATTTGGTGTTGTATTAAAATCAGTGTGGAAATACCTTATGGAAGGCGAAGGCTGGGGCTCATTTATATTTGAGTTCTATGCATATTATTTAGTGCCTGGCATATGATTGACCTTCAACATATGTCTGGTAAATTAATAGATTAATGTTTTGCAATTCTAAACATAATTTGCACATATAATAAAGGATCAGACATTAAATCTAAAAATGATTTAAGAGTAATTTTTACAGTTGACTATGTAAAATAAAAATGAGGCTCCTTTTTAGGACTGAAAAATAGTGAGCATGATTACGGGAAGGTTACCATGGCAATTATCTAGTCGTATTGGGCAGGGTAAAGGGAAAGCCTGGTAGATATAAAGGCACAAAGGAGAAGAAAGAACTTCATCTTGGGAAATAGGTCCTATTTTAGGGAAGTGGAAGTGAGTGAGTCCGTATGTATTTATGTGAGTTAAACAGAGCTTGGGTTTAGATAATGGCAGAAAAATGCATATGGAATATTAGTATTTTTGAAGCATCAAGTAAATCTCTGGTATTTCAGCGCAAACATTAGGCATTCAATGAGTAACTCGAATTGGTAATGGTTACAGTCTTTAACCTTCATTTCCACATTTTCTTGCAGAATTTAGAAGTTCCTCTTGCTTCAGACAATGGATGAGCAATCACAAGGAATGCAAGGGCCTCCCGCTCCTCATTTCCAGCCACAGGTAAATTATTCTCATTGCCAAAAATCACTGCTGTCTAGCTGATTCCAACTCGCAGTGACCCTGTGTTTCAGAGGCCACCAGTCTACAAGAAAAGACTGCCTGTTTTCCTCAGAGTAGCTGGTGGATCTGAACCTGTGACTTTTCATTTAGCAGCCCAACACAAAATGCAGTATGCCAGAGCTCTTTATTCTAATTAGGTTTGACAGATTGTTAAAAAATTTGCCTGTAACAAATAAAATAGCAAAATTGTTTTAGTTTAAAAATTATGACACTTAATTTTCATGTATAGAGGTGAAGAAGGAGATGGCACCTTTGGCCTTTGACTGCAGGTAAGCAATTGACCTGTAAGTGGTGAGTGCTAATGTTAGGCTTAGGGAGAAGAGGAAAACATGAGGCAGGACCCAGGTTGTGGGATTTCTTGTTTTTATGCTGGTCTGTGATTTGACCATTCCTGCTTGTTTGCATTTGCTGCTCCGCAGTTGTCACTTTCTGATCTGTGTCTTACAGTGTCTTTCTCTTGTTAATATTGTTGCTCATTTCTTGTAAAAGAAAATGAAAAGAAGAAAGGTTCGTGTAAAAAAGAAAAAAAAAGAGTAGGCACATTATTACTTCATCATTTAGCACCCTGCGTTTCTTTTAATACCTTTTATAAAGCTCAGTATAATGACATTTTAAAAATAACAAATCCCCTGATGTTAGTGAAGACTGTCAATTTGGTGGTTAAGTCAATTTACAGTATTTCTAAGAAGCTTTGGGCAGACCTTTTCTCAATTTTACTTTGATTGATACTTCTAAGTTGCTTGAAGAATTGGTAGACGTTCTCTCAAGGTAGGCTTTGAGATACCTGGAGTAATAGTACTTTGCTGGAGTACTTGTGAGAGCCCTTCACATAGGAATTTGCATTGGTGAATTTCCAAGAATGTGCTACAAGATGTCCTGTTCTCCAGATTTATTTGATTATGCAGCTCTTTTTTGAAGTGCATCTATTGACTTTTGTTTGTTTCCTGTGATTACAATTTGGAAAAATACTGTCCAGGAAATAACTCTCTTCTGCTTATGTGACTTTTCTTATTTTGCCTTTTCCATCTTTCCATCTTTTTCTTTCCTGTCCACCCTTCAAACACCATTTAGCCTATCTTTCAAATGTTAGCTTTCAAAGGTCATCTAAGAATTGACAGACCTGTCCCCCTTTTTTTTGAAACAGGATGACATATTCTTTGTGTCACTTTTCTGCTGTGCTGTTTAAGTTTTATGTGGACATTTTCCTATAGGTTAAACTCTTTAGAGGGAGATGATTGCATCTTACTAACCATGTTATATCTGTGGTACTTCAGTCCTTCACATAAGCAAAAGCTCAATAAGACATGTAATTGAAACCAATTGAGAACTCTGTATTAGTTTTAAGTTTGATTTTTCCTAATTTAAACTTAATTGCAGTTTTAAATAGACTTCTTCTCATACTTTCCTGGATTTTCTGTATTGCTCAGTCAAGAGGCCTTTCAGTTGACAAGCTCCTATTTCAGAAGGGGGGGGGAAGTAAACATTTTTAATTTAAAATGATACTTTGTTTTTCAAAGCTATCACCTATGTTTTGTTATTGTCATACATGCTATTTCAAAATTATATTAATTACTGCCTGTCACATGGCTTAGTGCCAACTGTAAATATAAACACACACACACACACACACACACACACACACACACACACACGTTCCATATTACAGTGTTTCAGTGAAGGCAGTAAAAGAAGCACCTCTAGAAATTAGATGGTTCGTGTTATGATTTTGAAATTTCACAGTTTTGAACAGTCCTGTGTTTCAAAGCAAAAAAATAAGCACTTTCATTTTTGCCCCCTACTGACTCACCAACCAGGAAAGGTCGGAGAGGCAGTAGGAGGTAAGAGTGAAAGTAATTGTTTTCCTGTGAGACGCTGGGCTGCCATACAGCATAAATTTCAGAATTATAGGAGCAGTTCTCCATTTCTTTTCACACTGTTCCTTTCGTTGTGCCTCCCGCTGTTGCTCCTGTGTGGGTGGACCTCAATTCCCTGCTGGAAGGAGGCAAGTGTCATCCCGGGTTCTAGCTGCCTTGTGGCGAGTGGAGTAAGGGAGAAGGAATTTTTTTCTTCTTCTTTCTTCTGCATTCCGACTGTTGGTGTGAGACAGTGAAAGAAAGATTACCTGACAAGAGCTTATAGGCGTTATTGCTTATTAAGTCTTTGAGAAATGTTACTGCTCTTGGTAGCAGTATTTTAAAAGACTGGGAAAGGACAGCCTCTGCGTGGAGTTGACAAGCTCCTTTTGTTTTGTTCCACACCATTGGCCTGAATAATGGGGGTGATATGGTAACATATGGTTAGCCCAGTGACTCCTTTGACTTTTGTAATGCTAATAGAAGTCTGGACATAAACAGACAACTAGGGATGGCAGCTTTCTAAGTGTCAAATACCAATTCCCTGTTATAATGATGAGTGATGTACTTTCTTGGCATGTCCTTTCTTTTTCTTGTTTTAAGATGAATGCACTTAACCCCATAATGCATAATATGTGATCTCATTTTTATTATGACATCATATAAAGGAGTAGTATGTGGGTTCATTTTTTTAAGCTTCAGAATGTTAGTGTGATGTATATTTATTGATAATTTTTGCAGTATCTTTATTTTTAATTTCCTTCCTTCCTCTATCATCTAAAAAGTACCAAAAAGATATGTTGATTGAACTCTGCTATTATATATACTTATTTCTTTTGAATTGTTGCTTGTGGCAACTATATTTTTGTTGGCTTATTTTTAAAACACAGTCAGTAGAAAAAAAATTAATGGCAGAAATAATAAACTACTTTTTTATTGTTGGACTAATTTTAAACTATGGAAAGTTTTAGGTAATGCCTTGTGAGTACTTTGATTTATGTAAATTGAGCATTGAGGGCTATGACACTTTTTATCAAAGTTAAATATAAAAGTAAGTATAATCAAAGTGTATGTTTTAGAATTTCCGGAAGTGTCTAGAAAGAAGATTAAATTGTTTTAATCATTAGAGCCTTAAATTTTTATTTTAAATGTGAAGATCTTATAGTTTTGGCTCTCTGTGGAAGAGGAAAGGCATAGCTGGTTTGCATGTAGAAAAATAGACATTCGTTATTTTTGTGGTTTGGAAGGTAAGAGAATCTTGTCCTGGAGCCTTCTACCTTAGTCAATGAAGTAGACTGAACATTCCTTTAAATATTAGGGCAAAGCCAACGATATGCTTTTCTGAATTTCTACAAAGCAGGTTTGAGGAGAGAAGGTGGAAATGCAGGTTACCTAATTGTTTAGGTTTCCAGGAGGGGACATTGTGGATCAGAGAGAAGTGGATTCAGTTATGTGAGTCAAACTTTTGGATGTGACAAACCTATTTTCTTCCCTTTGGTTTACCTTCTATTAAGTTACTCTCTGTGTGAAATAGAGTCATCGTTTGGCATATGTCCGTTGATAACCTGATTTTATTAAGCGCCTTTTCATATGACATTAAGTAGAGCTTCTGTTTTGGGAAGTCTTTCTAGAGATGTGTGGTGTTTTGCTGTCCTCATGGGTAAGAGGTTACACTGTCAGCCTCAAAGCAGGAAATTTGAATCTGCCAGAGGCTACAGGGGAGAAAGATGGACAGTCTCCTGCCATGTAATTTACAGCCTCTGTAAATCAGCTCTGAGTTGATTCCCACTCGAAGGCAGTGAGTGTTGAGGGTTGTTTTTGTAATAGACATTTAGATCTTAAGTTCTTTTTTTACATCATTGAGCATGTGCTGCAATCTCAGAGGCATGTGGGTCAAATCCACCAGTCTCTTCTTGGGGGAAGGATGAATAATCTCCTTCCTTGTGATTTACTACCCCTGAAAACCCGCTGGAGGGTCAGGTGTGCGTCAGTGCGAGTCAGTGGCAATCTTGATGTAGGTACAGAAGAATAAACGGTAGCTGTTTTCAGGATAAGGAGACTTGTATTAGGTTTAAATTCATGGTCATGAAAGACAACTAAGCCCGAAGGCTTCTCAGCAATTACGTGCTGACACCATTCTCTCCTCATTCTCCTTAATGACTCTCTCCCCAATACATCCTTATTCTCAATTGACTTCCCATTTCACAGAACAACCAGGAGCAAAGCAGAATGTCCACAGATTCCTCCCACAAAATCCTCCTCCAGGATTTCTGCTCACCCAGCCTGCCTTATCCGTTGTTACCAGATGAACTACTCCTGTCAGAGGCCATCTCTCCCATGCATGCAAGATTTCATCTTCTCTCTACTCAGTTTAATCTGCTCATTCTGTTGGGAACTTTCCGTCAGCTTACTCCTGTGTAAGTTTTATTCGTTTGTCTTAAATAGCAAAGCAAGACCACTTATAAAATAGATTTTGAAGTCACTCTTATCTACAGCTGTTACTTTGCAGCTGCATTTGATAGAGTTATTTAACCTGCTCTTCTTCAGAGAACCACTTGACTTCCAGGAACCTTATTATCCCCCTTGTCTCCCTGGATCCTACTCTGCAGTTTCCACCTCATCTCCTTGACTTCTTAATGATAATGTGCTTCAAGAGCTATGCCATGGTCCTCTTCCTGTCTGAATATCTTACTTGGTGATGTTTTATAATTTTATGGTTCCAATATAGTCAACAGAGTGTGGAAACTATAAAACAATATCATTGATTGCAGGCAAGATTCTACTGAAGATTATCCAAAAACAATTGGAACAGCACATCAGCAGAGAACTGCCAGAAGTCCAGGCTGGGTTTAGAAGGGGTCTTGGTACTAGGGATATTGTAGCTGATGTTAGATGGATCTTAGCTGAAAGCAGCGAATACCAGAAGAATGTCTATATGTGCTTCATTGATTATGCAAAGGCATTTGACTGTGTGGATTATAACAAACTGTAACTGACTCTGAGAAGAACGGGAATCCCGGAACACTTGATTATGTTGATGAGAAACCTATACTTGGATCAAGAGGCAGTTGTCAAAACAGAGCAGGG